GAACAGGAGTTTAAATACTTATACGCATTTGGTTCTATCAGTAAGTACGCACATATAAGAAATTAAGATGTGGGTTTTTTGGAAAGAAACGTAAGGCAGTAGTGAGTTCATTCTGCATTGGAAATCCTGACCTAAAAAAAAGGGTTTAGCTGCTGTTATGACCTTGCTTTGTCAATGAAGTTATGTGGAGCAGATTAGCACTTCTCAGAAGATACTTACAGTTTCAAAGTCAACAACTAACTGGGTAATAGGGTATATCAGTTAACATGGTTAGAATTTATTCCATTATTTCAGAGAAGCTAAAAAAGTGGAGTGGCTTCATTTCATGAAGAGAGAAACCAAAGTGTAGGTTTCAAGTAAAAACAGAGGTTGTAGTGTATGCAGGTGTAAAACGGGATAGTCCTTGCATCATCTTTTTGCAAGAATTTCTGAGAATGGCTGAATAAGGTTCAGAACAAGAAGAACAAAACTCTCATTTGGCTTTTGCTTTAATGTAGTCCTAAGGAAACAGAGACTTGACTTTTTGCTGTGCAACAATCACAGTAACGGTTGGTGCCTCCCAGACTTACGGGTACTCACAGTTTCTAAAACAACAGCCACAAAAGCCAAAGTCTTTCTCTTAGTGAAGAAAGCAGTAATGTTGGCTGTCGCCTTGGTGGAGGCTAGAGCAGACTTTTTGTCCCTTCACTTTAGGAGGAGATGTAACATAAAAGAAAAAAACAAAAAACAACACAGAAGTTGGTTTATGTCCCAGAAGATTCCAAACTGGACATAAAATTTGTGTTTACAATAGGTTGATAATAAAAGATTCCTGGATTCTGTAGATAAAAATGGAGGCTGGGAGGAATGTCATTGGTTTATCAGTATCAACAGACTGAAGAAATATGTTTTCATCCTCTTCTTTTGTATTCACGCCTGATGATCAGCTTCTCAGTGTGGTTTACAATGCCAAGAATCCAGGTCGTTCTGTCTTAGGTAAGGACTACCTTCTCCTTTGTGCTCCTTTTCAAGTCACTCACTGCAACTCTGCCGTCATCACAGGAACAGTTTCAGCATGTAGTTAGGTCAATAGTTGAATTTGTTACTTCAGGAACGAACAAAAGGTTGCTAGAAATGTGCAGAGTCTGTATGTAAGCAGTCAGAAAATGGACCTAACGTTACCTCTTCGTTTGTAGCTATTCCCTCCTGAGTTCTCTGAGCCTGATCTTGAGTCTGAAAAGCAACTAATGGCTTTGAGTGCTTTAACAGAGCATTGGCAGAATGGGAAGAGTTTGGGGGATATACACATTCTCAGCACATCAAATTCTGCAGCCCTTTGTGTTGCTATAAATGTTGAGTGACTTGAATGCAGGTAGCAGAGTTTGTCTAGATTTATATCCATGAAACTGTGAGATTTGGTGCAGCCTGTAGATTATTTAGCTTCCTTTTACCTGAATTCATTGCAGCTCTTGGACCTCAGTTCATTGTGACATTGCTTGGAGTTACAAGGCTCTGTGATAATGCTGTACTTTTACCTTTGGACTAAGATATGTTGTTATGAATTATGCAGAAAAAAAAGTCTGTCACTCCACCTACATAGGACATTTTCTGGATATATGCAGATTTGCCTGTCAAATTACTCAGATTCCTGTTAAGTTGTGATGGCTTACTTCATTTGGTGCAGCCCATGAATATGAAATGAAAGGGTCAAACTGTGTTAGCTTTGACTTTTGCTTTCCTGATTTTTTTGACTTTGAGGTAGACATTTAGTGCTTCTTAGTATATTATTCGCAGACTGTAAGTGGGAGATGCTCTCTCTAGCTCTTTCTTCCTATATTGAATCTCCGTTACGCTAACAATAACAAATATCTTTTTTACACTCACACAGCATTTTTCAGAGCAGCACAAAATGCTAAACGCACCTCATATCACTTTAATTTGTCAGCCCTGGCTATATAGCTCCCTCATAATTATCACAGATATTCTGACTTTTGAGTAAAAGAGGAGAATGGCAGAAATATCTGTTCAGTTGGGAAATGCTGATATTTTAAAATGGCAGTGACTGTAAACTGCTTTTCTAGAGCTACCTATTAAATATCTATTGTTAAGAAATAAATGGAATTCTGCAGTGTGCTTCAGGATAGAAGGAGTTAAGTAGAGTGCTGTCTATTTTTCAAAAATAAATTTTGGTGGCAAAATATTTATATAATCAGAGTCAATCCTTCTTATATTAGTAGCCGCGTTCTTCAGAAATAGCTGAATACAGATTTCCCAATAATTCCGCAGTGTCATGCGGAATGACACTCTGCTGTAAACATATTTTGCAATAGTCTGTGAGCACAGCAGTAAAATTTATTGCTTGCCAATAACTATGCACCGGCTCTCTAATATTGGAGAATATTTGATACAATTACCTATGGTTAATAGTATTTCTCTCTTCAAACAGTATTGCTGAAGTCAGTGTATTACTCAACATGAACAAACACATGACAATCACCCCCTATGTCTTTCGAATACAAACATGTGGTTAATAATGATAAATTTGTATTTAATCATGTTTCTGTGTTCTAGGCTGGATGCACACATTGCTTACATGTAATGTAATCACACAGCAGTCTTGTGCATGCATATATAATTAGCATGATGTTGAAGAACAGTTTCTTATTTGACAATACAAGGAGATTTTGTTGATTCGATATCATAAACAGACAGATTATTATTATTGTCTATGACACCTCCTTTCTGCTTTTGTGAGGTCTCACAACTGATGTCTCTCCTTCCTCAGCTGAAGTTGCTCCTCAAAGTTACATAGAGCTAAAAACCCCCACTGCCTTGTGCTCCTGTGGGTATTTCTATTGGTGTAGAGTGAGTGTAAAATGGAGTGAAAATCCAAATCACACCATAGCTGGAAAATCAAGCCCAGATTTTCTCAAGTAAAGGAACATAAATCTTGGTTCTCAAGAGTTAAACTGATGTTCATCAAAAATATCACCAGTAATTACTGTGTAGCAATTGACTGTTAAATTGAAATTAAGCCTAATATGGATTCTTGGGACACTCTTTGTTTCTTCAGTAGAGGAGTTTCACCTCTGATGAGTACAGCATTAATCTGTGCTTCATCATAAAACAAATGAATTAATAAACTAAATTATATTTGAATCTGTTTAATTTTTAAATTATTTATGATTAGGATTGTCTGTACTTGATCTGCAGTAATCTTTGCTCAAGGAAAAAAATTAGAGATTAAGTTTTTCTATGTTTGTTTTTTTTTTTTTTTCAGGGGCCTTTTCGTTTTTTTTCCGTGTAATAACCTACTAGCTCTCAAATAACAAATGTCCAGTAATCAGGCAAGACATTGCTTGCACTAAAGACATAAACCATATTATAGATTCAATTATATATCTAAAGTGATTTACTGGATTAGTTGTTGGGTGCACACTTTGGCCGCAATGCAGTGTAGTCTGTAGCTACATATTTCATAAACTCGTGACTATTTTAATTCATTTCACATAGAGAATTAATTAATTTTACTTAACAGAAACCAGAGTTTTCACTTTATGGACAAGTCTGCTACTTTGAAATGTATGAGTCCAGTGGAAAATAAGCGGTGTACACATTTCTCTGAAAAGAAAGCCATGCTAGAATGATGGTTTGAAATCAATTGAAATATTCCTTTTCTTCTAACAGCTTAACCATTTTTTGGAAGAGCTAAAAAATGCAAGTGGCTCCATTTCAGGGAAAGAGAACTGACTGTAACTTTTAAATAAATTTAAAAAATATGTACAGAGGTAAAATGGTGGTAGTATGTGCATCATCTTTCCTAACAGCAATAAGATTTTTCATATGAATAATCATATTGTTCCAATCTGTAATGAAATGTATTTTCCTTATCAAAATGTTTTTCTGATAGTATGCCTGTAAGATGAAAGTGATTTCACAATAGGTGTGCTATGAGATTTGTTGTATTCCTAGTTTTGGTTTTGATGACATGGCATTTGCTAGAAGAAAAATGATGCATTAGAACAAACTAGATTAGCTTCCATTATATATTTTAAGCTAGGTTGTGATCTCCTGCTTTACATTGGGCCCTCAGTGTAAACAGAAGTAACTCAGAAACCCTTAAACTTGCACAGTTTGTTTTCCAGAGGATTTTTGATCATTTACGACGTCTCAATTTTTTATCCTGTCCATCTCTCTATTGCCATCATACAGTGGTCAACAGCTGCACCTCCTGTATATTCATGTACCTTTACGTAGCTGTGAATTTTACTGTATCAATGTAGAAAATGCAGACTTATATTGCTTATAGGTTATTTATACAGTGCTGTACAGAATTTCCCAAACAAAATGTGTAGTACGTTAATTTCTACGTGACAGACAATTGAGGCATTGCCATTTTAATGCTTGATTCAAAGCAAATGGTCAAGCAGCTGAAGATGACAAACCCACATTCTCTGACTAACCCATGGTCTTTCTAAAGCCTACACAACGGAGAAACAATGTGGTGTATCAAAGGTCTGCTTAGATTTAGAAGTCAAGTTCCTTATGAAAATAGGATTGATACTAAAAGTAGATTAATTTCACCAAATGTTAGAGAAATAAAAGTTAGGTGACTGGTGTAAATTAACTTAGGAAGAAACACTTCTGGATGGGTGTTTTATTTAATTTATCATGCACAGCTATCTTAAAATGAGATGAGTCATTCACTGACATGCCCCTCTCTCTCTACACACACTAGAAGGAAAGCTAAGCTTCAACTAGAGAGCTAACCTTTGGTGGATAAAACCAGTAGAGAGAAAATCCACGTATAGGAATTTAAGGCTTTTTGCTTCTTCTGCCCATAAACTTATTCTTCAGCTTTTAGGAAGTAAGGAGATAGCAGGAGGAATAGAGCCAGAAAGAAGGAGGAATAAATAAGCACCACACTCTTCCTAGTCACAATTCCTGGTTACCTTGTTGAGTTAGCCTCCTTTTACATGCTGGTAAGCAATCAAATGAAAGCTCAAAATGCTTTACCATACCTGATTGTGGACTTTGTTTGGGGATTTTGGCTGCTGCTTCAGGGCTGGAGGTGGCACGCACACGCTGATTGGCAGAGTTATGGATGCTACTTGGAACAGCTGCTGAGATGTTTTTGCGAGGTTTCATGTCTTGCAACCACATTGGAGATGCTTCAAAGGCTTGCATTCGCCGAGAGTGGCTGTTAGCGTTGACTTTGAGAAATGCCTGGGCCTTGTATTCCTGAAGGTCTCCATAGTTGGCATCGGTCACCCTGCACTCATACAAGCCTTCATCCTTTTTCCTCACTTTTGAAATCTGCAGCTTGTGGGAGATGTCATTCCCTTGTACTTTCACTGTCTGCAAATTTGCCAGGAAAACAAACAAACAAACAAACAAACATGCTGTCAGGTATTATTCTTTCTCTGGGAAGACTCTACCAGTGTAGAGCCTGTCCAGAGAAGTCAAGTGCCAAAGTAATCAGTGATGTGATTGTGCTTACTGCAGGGAAGTTGCATCAAGGATGAGTATGATTATTTCTATCTATGAGGATGTCTGACATCTTCTTTCCAAAACTGTTTAGATGGTTTGCTCTGAAATGCTAATTGGCCTCAGACAAACAACCCAAACTACTGTGCTCATTCCAATTAATTGCTTAAGATCATGAACATTTTTAATGAGCTTTCTTACATAAACCTAATATCTGTGCACTTCATTGGTTAAAAATTTCCAGTTAGTTGGCTTTATTGAATAATTCAGTTTTTGAACTAGTGCATTAACAATTTTGTTGGAGATGTTTGCCAATATTTAAACTTCTTTAATAATAATTTATTAGATTAGCTTGTAGTCTTCACTACATTGAAACTGCATATTTGACATTCAATTTGTCTCCTTCAGGCATGTCCAAACCTTTGGTATTTTTTGTTTATTAACCATAACAAGACATCTTGTGTCAGGTAGTTCCTTTGTCTCATTTATATAAGTGTGTACTTATTAGAAGTCATATATCATTTCTGCAGCACATGTTCAAGTAGCACATATTCAAGATCATTTTAAAAGTTGTCAGCTAAAATAAGACTCCTGATTTATTTTTAATTGCTTTTAATATCTGACGGTAACATAACGTATTTTTGTCTCACATAATTAAAAAACACATGAGTAAATTATGCATCCAGAAATGTGTGATAGGTATTAAGATGCATTAGGAAAGGCAACACAGATTCCTTTCTGTATGTTCATAATTTTAGATAATTTATATTTAATTAATTGGCTATTACTCTCTATCTGGATTAATATCTGTTGCCCCATAGGAAGCCAGTTAAAAGGGATTCAGTGGGAGAGAAAACTTCAGCTTTGAAGAACTCCTGAACCCGGTTTACTTCCACCATCACATAAACATGGATGCAAATGTTGCTTTGTGTCATATCAATGACAGGCAATGAGGAACCGTCAGGGTGATGAATATGTGGTAGATCACAAAAACGAAGAATTGTTAGATTGAAACTGGGCATGTGTTATTGGTGATTATACAACACATTGCTTCTGATAGCTTGGCATGCTGCAGTCACCAGTGTTGGCAAAGCACCTGTTCTGCCTGCTTGATAAATTGAAGAGCAATACTTGTGAATACATTACTGCTTTAAGGTACTGGATGGACTTTACAGCCTGTTGTGTTGTATCCAGCTCTGAATTTATACTTGGCAAACTGAGTTGAAAGTATGGATTGCATACTTTCAGGCATGATGTATGCAATATTAATTACACAGAAAGTGCTGGATAGTTATTTAAACCATATTCAATAATAATATATCTCTACTGAACAGCTCATATTCAGCAAAAGGATTAAAGAAGTTTCATATGAAGGGAAAGAGGATCTGTAGGTCATATTCTGCTTTCATTTGCTCCCATGCAATATCTGCAAAGTTAACAGTGTTGCATAGCACTAATGAAAAATAGAATTTGGTTTGGGTTTTGCACTTGAAATTTAGAAATTGTTGCAGTCAACAGGTATGCATGTTTTCAATTTATGCCTGATTATCATTTAAAACCAATAGAAGTGGTGTACTTCAGCACAGTTTAAAAACACATTTAGTATATTTTACCATTTCTTTAAAGAATTTATTAAATGCACTTAAAAGTTTGTTCTCCTCTTCATGAAGATACTTTCCAGTAGTACCAAGGGAGACTCTGTGTGTGCCTTCAAGAAAGAAAAAAAGGAAGGCTACATTTGTAACAAGTGTATTTAGACTGTCAACCTAATGTTGACTTTTTTTTATTGCAAATATAAAATGTTTTATGCAAGCTTATAAAAACACTGTATGAATACCCCATCGTGAATTATTATCATACATAATGAGAGAAAGAGACTTTTAACTTGAAAGATGGGACAAGCTTTACAGCCCATACTGTGTCACAGATCTTATGGATTACTACGAGGATTTTGAATGAGCCAGTATCGATAAGGAATAAATTGGCTGCTAGCACTATGTCTGGTGGAATAGTATCCAAAGACCACATGTGGGCCTCATTTGTAAGATAGTCTACAAATGTAACTGAAGATACGGTCCGTGACACAAATCGTTTATAGTGTATGGTGAGAAGTATCATAGGAAATCTAAGTATGGCTAGAATATGTATCATTCTGAACATAACACATCTGAATTCTCATTTATAAATGCCCTTCAGCTATGCGTAGCTGCACTTTGACCTGATGTAATTACTTGGTTAGTTATCTGTAAGCATCAAAAAGCAGCAAAGGACTTAACAGAAATGATTCACCTCTACCTGTTGCTGTTTTAAACTTTGCTGGTACTTACAGCCTTGGCTGCAGCTAAAAGACACTTCCGAAGCGATTGTGTCTGAGAAAGGGAAGACCCCTTTGGGCTCATAAGGAATACCCATGCTGCAGTATCTGCTAAGTATCTGTGTCTTTCCACTGCAGTGAGCACCACACCATGACCCCACCACCATACATTTCTTGGGACGCTGAGGGAGGAGGGTCTGAACTCTTCTGAGGTCAGGGGCTGCGGCTGTGCTTGACTCAGGATATGGGTCTGCTGAGGAAGGCATTCTTTCCCTGGACAAGGGCTGGAGCAATGTTGCTCGTAATTTTGTTGAGACAACATTCTGGTTTAATCTCCAAACGGGAGATCGGTAACTCTGGTGTCAGAATCCCACTTTCCTAAGAAAAAGTCTCAGTGGCCAAGAGTGGAGATTACTCCTAACAGGGAGGTCTTGTCCAGCGACTTTCTGAGCTTGTTTTGTGCCAGCAGATATGAACCTGGGAAAGCACCCATTTAAACAGTTGCACACCCCACTGAAGGAAAGTGCAGCTTCACGGCCAAATTTCAACCTTAAAACCAGCTTTGGAGCGCTAAGGCAGACTCAGCAGTTGCCCAGGGTAAAAGAAAACAAGAGGCAAAAGGATGGGGGCAGGCTGTCTGCTTCACGGCGCGGAAACAGTCTGCCGAAGGTCTACTGCCTGAGCCTCGCTCGCCGATGCCTTCATGCCCGGGGTCCCCAGGGGTGTAGGCTGCATGGGGCAGAGCTGTCCTGGCACCCTCTGCCAGGGCCGGCGAGGAAGGAGCTGCGGGCTGCCGGCCGCCTGCCCGCTTCAGCTTGCGGTGCCGATGGGGAGGGGATGCGGGGGTGTGTGTGGGGGGGAACAGCCTC